AGACCAGGCTGGCCTCGAACTCACAGAGATCCGCCTGCCTCTGCCTCCCGAGTGCTGGGATTAAAGGCGTGCGCCACCACCGCCCGGCCACACATTTTTGCTGAGATGTCTGAGGAACTCCTTTAAAGATCTTAAGTGCTCTCTGGTTATATTAACTGAAGCCTGTGTCACAATATCTTCACAGGCTTTGTGTGATAGACTGCTCTGACTTCTTGATCTTGCTATTAGTAAATGCTGTGCGGCCACATCCTCAGTTACTTCTTCAGAACATGCTTTCTGACAATGAACCTCTCCATTTCAGTTACTTTTGTGATTAAGATGGGTTGGCAATTTCCCAAATCACATCTTCAGTCTTTTCTCTTCACACTTCATTATATTTCTTTTACTACAATACATCTGTTTAAAAATGTTCTTAGTTAAATGTCCATATAAAAATTCATACATGAATATCTGCAATCACTGTTTTTAATATTTAGAAGATGGGTCATGAAAAATGACAAATATGATAAGGGGTAACTGCGGTAAATCCATACTTCCAGCAGTCAATAATAAATGAACTGTTCATACATATAACATAAATACATGTCAAATTGGTTATTTAGACTAACAGCAGACAAGATGTACACAAATACTTGGAAGTTACATTGACATAAACCTCTTGAAGAACTTATGTACAGTAAAACCGGTGATTGCCTAGGGATTGAATGAAGGGCATAAAGGACATTGAGAAGAGTCCTGAAGAAACACATGGTAACTTTGGAGCTCTGGGGTATGTTCAAAATCACCACTAGAATGGCTTTACAGTATATACACATATATCAAACTACACAACTATATACAATATACAGAGTTTGTTAACTACACTCCATAAAGCCTATAAAAATATTCCACTTAAAATTCTAGACGACCCACTTCTACAAGTAGACATTAATATAGTAATCCTACCATATCACTACAAATAACTTAGGAAGCCATCTTCCCCAGTGGTAAGCAACCAAGGTCATTTTCATTGTAACCAAGAATTCTGGTTATGTGCGAAAAGTTACATTCTTGGATTATTTCACTCTCTTGGTTACTGCCTATACAGCAAAGACATTTAGCAAAGATCTCAGGAAGGCATAGGAATCCAAAAAAAAAAAAATCTATGCTGAACTAGTGACCTCGGTCCTAAGTGACACAGCACTTTTTGCTGAAGAGTTCTATAAATCCTTTGACACTACACAGCTTTCATGAGTAGAATATTTAGGAATGTTCTTACAATGAGAATTTCCCCTGTAGTTAATTGAAACTAATCTGTAATTCCAGATACTCACATCCACTATTTCTGTACTTTTGTTTAGTGGCACTTTTCGATATATAGCTGGTAGCCTGCATCCCAATCCTAACCACATAGGTCTCCTCAACGGTGCAAGGAGATATAGTGCATGAGCTAGAAATGAGACACATGATCCATTCTGCTCCAAAACACATGACAGATTATCACAATATATCAGTTTGTGGTCCTTCAAATAACTCTGAAATCCAGTCAAGTCAGATCCTTCAAATACTTGAAATTATTATCTATGAAGTGTTTTTCAACAATAGAAGGTAACACAGTAACTGGACTCAGAATCATCAGCAACCTGCTGTCCCATTTAAAATACAAGACTGTTTATCTTTTTAGCTGGTCAAATACTAACTTTATTTTCACTACACTCCAACCTCCCCTAAGATTAAAAGTAATGTAAATTCTAAGGAATTTATTATTGGAAGCCAAAGCAATAGAAGTCAAGTACTTGTTCTGGTTAGATGACTTAAAGATGTGGGATGCCCATTATGTTAGAAAGTTCATAAAGAACTGGGGATAGTGGCACATGTCTAAATACTCAGCTACTAAGAAGGCTGAGGAAAGAGAAGTTCAAGACTAGCTTGGACGAAATAAAAATACTGGCTCAAAAAAGCAAATAAAAATATTTCACACTAAAACAACATCCAAGAAGTAAATTATTTCTGCAAGCCAAATACAGAGCATAGCTCAGATCTTCTTGGTTATACACAACTCTGCCCGTCAAATGTGACAGACTGGGGAATTATACTCTTATCATGTGCTACACAACTACTATAGGGACTTTGAAGTGTAAGTCTTTTCTTCCCAGAGGTTGCTGTAGCTGAAGTTTTCCTGGTCCTGCCTGGCCTAAGGTCAGGACAAATCTCTCTCACTAGCGTCCCTCAAGTAAACACACAGAGAATTATATTACTTATAAACTGTATGGCCGTGGCAGGCTTCTTGCTATCTGTTCTTATATCTTAAATTTACCCATTTCTATTAATCTATACCTTGCCACGTGGCTTGTGGCTTATCGGTTGTTTACATCTTGCTTCTCATTGCAGTGGCTGGCAGCATCTCCTGACCCAGCCTTCTTTCTCCCAGCATTCTTCTCTCTGCTTGTCCTGCCTACACTCTACTTCCTGCCTGGCTACTGGCCAATCAGCGTTTTATTTATTAATCAATCATAGCAACACATTTTTATAGCATACAGAACATCCCACAGCGAATTGTTGAAGAGACTAAGATGGAAGAGATTAGATCGTTTCAGTCATATGTACTGAGACAGTGACATGTTACTCGAGCTAGTCAGAATGTACAACATAGCTCTTGAAGGCTTACTACATACTTGCCATTTCTAATGCATCTCCCTGTCATGACCGCTCACTATGAGATTCAACATCTGACTGAATACTATTGTGCTACAAGCACCCCTAAAGTCTTCTTGCTGCATGAATCTTTTGGTGCCGATTCAGGTGGGAGCTTAAGCTGTAGGCTTTCCCACACTCACCGCACTCATATGGCCTCTCTCCAGAGTGAACTTTCTGGTGCCGAACAAGGTGGGAGGTTCGGATGAAATCTTTCCCACACCTGCTGCACACAAAAGGCCTTTCCCCAGTATGAACCCTTTGGTGTGCTATAAAATCAGAGCTTCTACTGAAAAATTTCCCACAGGGCATTCAAAAAGCTTTGACTCAGTGTGAATTCTCTGATGTTTAATGAGGGTGTATCTGTGGCCAAAGGATTTCCCACAATCACGGCAATCATAAGGGTTTTCTCCAGTGTGGATACTTTCATGCTGAACAAGTGTCGATTTGTGTCTGAAGATTTTGCCACAATCATTGCACTTATAAGGCCTCGAGCCACTGTGTACCCTCTGGTGTACTATTAGGTTGGAGTGATGGCTAAAGTATTTCCCGCATTCCGGGCACTTGTAAGGCATTTCTCCAGTGTGGAGTCTCTTATGTTGAGTGAGGTTGTCTTTTCGACTGAAGGCTTTTCCGCATTCACTACACTCATAAGGCCTTTCTCCAGTATGGATCCTCTGGTGCTGGATGAGTGTGGCTTTGCGGCTGAAGGCTTTCCCACATTCACTGCACTCATAAGGCTTCTCTCCACTATGGATCCTCTGGTGCTGCACAAGGGTATCTTTGCAGTTGAAACCTTTCCCACACTCACCACATGTATAATGCATTTGTCCAACATGGAAGTCCTCTCCATTCTCAGTGCTCCCTGATCTCTTCTTGCTATGGGTGACCTTTTGTTGGTGACCAATCAAACTGTCCTGAAGGTTCCTCTGCTCCACCTCGCATATAGAGGGCTTCTCTGAAGAGTAGGGCTCTACATGAACTTTGAAATTCTTAAATAATGAGGCTCTACTGTCATTCTTTTGTAAAGAATTCTCGACATTATTATGCTTTAGGTTCCGGCAAAAGTTTTCACTTAACCAGAACTGTCTCTCACATGCCCGGCATGAGTAAGTTACAAGTGCAGGGTATGTTCCTTGGTCTTCCTCCACATCCAAAAGACCATTCAAAATGGGGCCACATATGCCACAAGGATAAGTTGTCCGAGTGAAGAAGGAACCTGCCTTGGGAATGTTAACATGTGGTACTCCAACAGAAGGCTCTGCTTCATCCTTCACTGCACACCAACAACCTGAAGGCAGAAAAAACACTGGTATTTACATGCTGAAATACATGTTGTCTTAGTCAGGGTAACTACTGCTGCCAAAATACCTTGGCCAAAGGCAAGCTGGGGAGGAGTTTATTCAGCTTACTCTTCCACAGCACTGTTCATAATTAAAAGAAATCAGGACAGGAACTCATATGGGGCAGAAACCTGGAGGCGGGCACTGATATAGAAGCCATGAAGGGGTACTGCTTACTGGATTGCTCCCCATGGCTTTTTTGGCCTGCTTCTTACAGAACCCAGGACCACCAGCCCAGGGATGGCACCACCCATAATGGGTGATCAAAGAATAGAGAAGGCTATGAGATAAAGATATAAGAATGAGGCTAGTACAGGAGAAAAATTAGTCTTTATTATTTCTCTAAAAATGACTTCTGGAAAGGCTTGGCTGACTGCTAGTAACAGGTCAGAGTTACGCATAAGTGTATGTTCCTGGCCCAGGAATGTCTGATTCAAAATGAGTGGCTTATATTCAAAGACTATTAAAGAATTATGTATACATCTGATGATCTTAGTTCAGTCCAATGATCTTCTTTCAGTCCAATACTAGAAAGACTGACGAGGGAGCAATAGAAAACATTTGCATTAGAGACATGGGGAGAAAGCCCTGGGTCAGAAACTAGAGCAAAAATAACAAAAGGGGTAGATGGAAAGGAAAAGACAGAAAGAAGGTATGTCATCTGGCATTGGCTTCAAATGGTAGTGGACACAAGACAGGCTTCTGATACCATCTGATAAACATTTGAAAGTCATGCCCTCCTCTAGTTCTTACTTGAGTTGGTCCAAGCTCTTTGTGCTGCGCTTAGAGTCATCCCCTCTCAGTCAGGTGCCCAGGACTCTCTTGCTTGCCATCGTTCAGGAATCATAAAGGATCTGGAAGACAGAAATCACCAGGGAAAGCATAGGTGAGTAGAAAAACATACTCATGCAAGACTGGGAGGAAAATACAATAAAATAAAGCCTGTCTTGCAGGAACAGTCCAGTGAGTTCCACAAACAATGACTATGATAACTGAAAGCTTTATTTGCTGATCCAGAAAAAATGTTAAAGGGGTGGCAGAACATGGAGCCCTGAAGTGTGTGCTTGTAGGCAAAGTCTTACCACCAGGGAAAAAGCATGAAGGATGTGATCTGCTGTGATAACCTTAAGACCCTTGATGCCCAAATATGACCTGGCTAGTCTCCTGATAGTAAGAATTGGGAAACAAAGAGAATGGAGGGGAAAATTCATTGTATCTAAGGCTTGGCAGCCAGAGAACCTATGTGAAGGAATCAGGTAAAACAGTAGTGGCTAAGGCACAGCTATGGTAAGAAAAGATCAAGCCCTATAGTTTAAAAAAGGAAAACAGTGTCATCCTAGGAGCCTAGGATAGCTCCCCTATCCCATGAGATGGTAAATATAAAGCACAGAAGGCATCATACCACAATAGTACAATGTATGAACTTCATCAAGAAGCTCCCATTTCAAACAGGAAGAGCACCTAAATTCATTCTCAGGCTATGTCACATGGTCCTGAGCCAAATGGAAAACTTCCCTCAAGTTTCCTGTTTCTCATCTTAAACACCACATAAAATAACACCCATAATAAATCTCAACCTCATCCAAATCTCTATGTCTCATACCTCACCTATGAGGTCTCCAGCGATTCCTTCCCCAGGATGCTGGACCAGAATATTTTGCAAGCTTTCCTGCTGGTTGCACTGTGAGACACCTTGGATTGACCATGTCTAAACCCCAATTCTTAATCCTTCTGAAAAAAAATGTTCACCACTCTAACTTATCATTTTCAACCTTTCAGATGTTTATGAAGTGGGGGAGGGGTAGTGAGACAGTTCTTCACTCACTGCTTTCACAACCACATTTGATAAGACCAGGAAACTTGGACGGTTTCATCTCCAAACTTATCTTCAGAATTTAATGATTATCCAGAATCCATTCCACGTTCCCCCAACCCTATGCTACTTGAGTATTTCCAGAACATTCTCAGAGTCAGTTGCAATAGCTTCCTGGCCTGAGTCCCTGCTTCAGTCCTTATCATCCCAACCCCACAGCAGACTGTTTCCTGAATGAATACCGGAATGCATATTTAAGTCTTTTTAAGATCATCTTTTTCTATCATTCAAAATGCTCTTTAGTTCTCAAAGGAGGATACAATTCATCGTAAGCGTGTGTCGCAGGATAGGAATGACTGCAAAATCTCTCCTGCATACAAGGGTCAAAAAGGCACCCACTTTTCGCTTGTTTCATGCACTCGCCAAGCCTCTGCTCTGGTCGTGTTTTGTTTTGCCATCACACAGCCCTTCATTCCACTGCTGGTCAGAAACCGCAATCCTCCCACTCACTCGGGTCCCCTGCCCTGCAGCCACTTGTGGATTTCTGATTAGAGGTTGAGGATGACAGGTGAAGGTCTGAGAACTTAGGACCCACCTGCGCAGGGTTCATGGCCACCACCCTCACCTGCCTAAGCAGCGCCAAAGTAGGGCGAGCAGGGACCGCTGTCACTTGACCCTGGAGACGAGATCTCTTGGCTCTGTCACCGCTCAATATTCCCTCAGGGGCAAGTAAGTCTCCTTTTGTGAATTCTGGCGCCCGTAAATCGGAATGGGCTCCAAAGTTTTGGCCATTATGTTGCCAAGACGCTCGACCTGGGAAAAATTCCGGAAGTCCCGCCTAAAAGGAAATGCTCCCAACTTGCGCGCTGGATTCTGGGCAATGTAGTTCCTTCAGAAAAATTGACCCTAGGGGCGCTGACTCTGGCATCAGTTAGGACCTGAATAGTGTGGCTTGGCTGAAAGTTCTGGGAAAGGTCCCAGAAACTCGCTGGGAAGAGCAGAACCTCCTTCATCCGAGAGAACAACGAGTGCAAATATTGAGACAAATTACGTCAAATGTTCCCCGAATGGGCATACACATCAAAATAGGTAAGGATATTTAACTGCCCACTCTTATGTTCTTCTTTGTTAATAAGTAAAATATAAAGCTTGAAGTCAGTTGTCCAAGCTTAAACGGTGAGAATTGTCCCAAGACATAAAGTGTAGTTTTTAGAGAGAGGTTTTGTATGGATATTTGAGCTCCAAAGTTGGCTAATGAGGAGCACTTCCTCAGCTTTCCATAGATACAAATTTCACCTAGGAGGGCTCCAGGAGATGACCAGATTGGAAAGGGAATAACAGAATATTCTAAAAGCAGGTGATCAACAGAGGCACCTTTCTGTATGGTATCCAATGAAGTAACACTCTTATCTAAATGGTGTGTGCCCCTTAGCCCTTAAGCTGAAATACATTTATTTCCTTTTGGGAATATGCTACCTATTTGAGAAATGAAAACTATTTTAAGTGTCCCACGTGCTAAGATAAAGAGTTGGCATGGTCTCACTGACAGCCGTGTGCAAAGATATCATCAGGGCATGGAAATGTAGATTTGGAATAACTGACCTCATTTCACCTACAATTCCAGGAACAACATTAGAGTTGAAATTTCAGATGATTCATGGGGGAGAGAGAAGCTTTTACTGTTTAAACAACCAAAACCTGTTTAATCACGACCATGTTGTCTTCACAAGTACATATATATTCTGAGGAAGCCAATGGCATTTGGAAAGAGTTAGGGCATCGGGATAACTCAAGGAGATACTGAAGTCTCAGACATGCTCAATGCTGACCATGAAATGTGCCTGTTACAGAGCTTAATCCTAAAATGTAATTCACTAAGTGACAAGAGATGGACAGTTGTGACTCTGACTTTACCACTATTTGGTGATTCATTTAGATCACCTTCATATATAGATATGTTTTAGAAAGCTTCCTCTGTATAGGTTTTCATATTACCCTTCAAATATCCCTTAATTTTAGCTTCTAACTCCCCGTATTCCCAATCCACAACCCCGCTCTCCTCACTATCCTTAATTTATCCTCCCTTTCCAGACCTCCATCCATATCTATTTATTTCTGTTTCCTAAAGAGATAAGCCTGTTCCCTCTAAGCCCTTACTCTATACCTATTCTTTGTGTTCATATGGATTGCAGCTTGGTTCTCATTGACTTAACAGATAATATCCACATATAAGCAAATACATACCATGTTTGTCTCTCTCCATCTGGAATACCTTGCTGAGGATGAACTTTTTTATAGTTCTATCCATTTGCCTACAAAATTCATAATGTCATTAAAAACATTGAAGTAGTATTCTATTGTGTAAATGTACCACATTTTCTTCATTAATTCTTCTGTCAAGAGACATCTAGGTTGTTGCCAATTTCTGGCTATTATGAACTGAGCAACAATGAATGTAGTTTAGCAAGTGTTTCTGTAATAGGATGAAGCATTCTTTGGGTATATGCCCAAGAGTGGTATAGCTGGAAATATAGGTATATGGATTTCCATCTTCTTGAGGACCCATCACACTAATTTCCATAGTGGTTGGATGAGTTTGCACCTCCCCTACATCCTCACCAGCATGAGCTGTCACTCGTGTTATTAATCATAGCCATTCTGATGGGTGTGAGATAAAATCTTAAAGTAGTTTTGATTTGCATTTCTTTGATGGCTAAAGATGTTGAACAATTCTTTAAATGTTTCTTAGTCATTTAGGATATTAGCCCTTTATTGAATGTGTAGTTGGTAAAAATCTTTTCCTATTCTGTAGGCTGCTGCTTTCTCTGAATGATGGTGTCCTTTGACATGCAGATGCTTCTCAGTTTAATGAGTTTCCATTCATTAATTTTTGGTTTTAGTACCTGTGATGAGTGTTCTGTTCAAAAAAGTGTTTATCCGTGCCAATGAGTTCAAGGCTATTCCTCACTTTCTATTATCAGGTTCAGTATATATGCTTTTATGTTGCAGTCTTTGATACATTTGGAGTTGAGTTTTATGAATGTTCATGAGTTTGGATCTGTTTGGATTCTTCTACATGCAGCTATCCAGTTTGACCAGCACGATTTATTGAGGATATCTTTTTCTACTGTGCATTTCTGGCATCTTTATAAAAACTCAGGTGTGCAAAGGTGTGTGACTTTAGGTTTGGGTCTTCAATTCGATTCCATTGATTAATGGGTTTTTGTGACAATACCATGCTATTTTTATTACTGTAGCTGTGTAATACAACTTGAAATTGGGAATGGTGATACCTCCAGCAGTTCTTTTATTATTCAGGATTGTTTTAGTAATCCTAGGTTTTTTTGTTTTTGTTGTTTGTTTATTTCTATATGAAGCTGAGAGTTATACTTCAAAATATGTGAAGACATGTTGTTGGAATTTTGATGAGAATTGCATTGAATCTCTAGATTGTTTTTGTTAGGGTGGCCATATTTACTATGTTACTCCTACCAATCTATGACCTTTCCGTCTTCTGATATCTTCTTCAGTTCCTTTCTTCATGAGTTGAAGGGTTTTGTTTGTTTGTTTGTTTGTTTGTTTTAATCATACAAGTTTTTCATTTACTTGGTTATAGATACCTCGGGATAACATATTATTTCAGGCTGTTATCAAAAGTGTTGTTTCCCTGCTTTGTTTCTCAAACCTTTCTATAGGAGGACTACTGAATTTGTAAGTTAAGTGTGTATGCATCTATTTTGCTGAAAGTGTCTATTAGCTGTAGGAGTTCCCAGGTGGAATTTTTGGGGCCCTTATGTATAGTATCCTATCTTCTTTAAATATATTTTGACTTCTTCCTTTCTAATTTTTATCTCCTTGATCTCCTTCAGTTGTCTTATTGTTCTAGGTAACACTTCAAGCACTGTATTAAATAAAAAAGGAGAGAGTGGTCAGCCTTTTCTTGTTCCTGATTTGAATAGAATTACTTTGAGTTTCTTTCCATTTAAGTTGATGTTGGGTATGGCTTTGCTATAAACTGCCTTTATAATGTTGAGGTATGTCCTTCTATCCTTAATTTGTCAAAGATTTTTATCATGAAGGGGCATTAGATTTTTTTCAAAGGCCTTCTTTGCATCTAATCAAATGATCATGTGGTTTTTGTCTTTCTGGCTGTTTATATGGTGGATTACATTTATTGATTTATGTATCTTGAGCCATGCCTACTTCTCTGGGATGAAGCTTTCTTGATCACTGTGAATGATCTTTAATGTGTTCTAAGATTCTGCTTGTTTGTTAATGAGAATTTTTGAATCTATGTTCATAATGGAAATTGGTGTATAATTCACTTTCTTTGTTCAGATTTTATGTAGTTTGGGTAACTACATAATCAGTGTAACTGTAGTCTTGTAAAATGAACTGGATAGACAAGGGTCCTTCTGCTTTACATTCTTTTGCTCTTCCCCCCCTCCTCCAATAAACCTCTTTCACTAACTCTTTTGTGTGGTGTGTTCTCATAGCAACATACATTGGCAGGGCCCTCCACAGGTACTAGGGGACTTTCTTTTCTGTTCTAGTCTATTGAGTGTCCCTTACGTTTCTTGTACCTTGTAGACAAATTGTTCTTTATGTTAGGTTTTTTTTTCTATGATTTTGTTTAAAATATTTTCTCAGCCTTTGAGCTGAGTTTTTTCTCCTTCCTCTGTTCCCATTATTCTTAGATTTTTCTTCTTTTTGTAGTGTCCCAGATTTCCTGGATGTTTTGTGTCAGGAGTTTTTTAGACTTTTCTTTGATTGAGGTATCCACTTCTTCTATTGTGTCTTTAATGCCTGAGATTCTTTATTCCATCTCTCATATTTTGTTGGTGACACTTACCTCTGTGGTTCCTGTTGAGTTCCTATATTTTTCATTTCCAGATTTCCCTCATTTTGGGTATTTATTATTGATTCCATTTCCATTTTCATGTCTTGAGTGGTTTTATTCATTTTTTCCATGGTTTGTATTTTCATTGATTTCTTTAAGGGGTTTATTCATTTCTTCTTTATGGACCTCTCTCATATTAATAAAGGCTGATTTAAAAGCTTTCATTTGTGCTTCCATTATGTTGGAATATTCAAGGCCTGCTAAGGTAGGCTGCTGGACTCTAGATGGAGAGGTGAAGATAGGAAGTTAGCCTACCTGCTTCCCTGATTGGAGTGATGCCAGGGGTCTGAAGGATGGGGTACTCAGAAGGCGCAGTAATGACTCAGAGACAGTGCTACTGCAAGCTGACAGGTCTCCAGGCTTCTGCACTTGCTAAGTAGCTTCTCTGCAACAGTTTCTTTAGCTTCCCTAGCTTCTCTTAGCTTCTAATTTTGCCCTGGTGACCTCAGTCTTTTATTATCATAAGTAAGAGGGAGCAGAAAGAAAAGGGGGAAATCACCCAATACAAAATGTTCTCATGATTTCAAAGGTTATTCTTAGAAAATTACAAATATATTCTTCATCATCTTTAACTATACAGAAGGACTATCCCAGACTTAACATCAATGCAAGCATAATCTGTTTTTATTATTAATGATTATACAATATTCTGAGCACTTGACCCAAATGCAATTTCGCAAAAAAAGGTAAAAATAAGAACAGTGGGTCAATGTACCAGACAGTCATTTCCTTCTCACACAGTCTGCTCCGACCTCAAGACTGCTGCAGCCGCCTAAGTTCCTCCTCAGCCCTCTGCAAACACCAAGCCCCATGACTGGTGGGCCACAATGACCTCAGACAAGAAATCTGTTCCTGCAAGTCAGCAACTTCTGTTCTTCTATATCCAACAATTCCAAGGAAGACCTGTTCCAAATTTTAGAGCTTCCATGAAAGGAATCTCACATTTTCTGGCAGCTCTTTTTAATCTAGGAACCCAATAAAGCTTGTAGCAATCACTCCAACCACTGCCACATTGTGTCCACACTCCTTCAGGAGGTATCTGGATTAAAGTTGCCATCTCCATTTCTTGGTGGAGGCCAACATTTTCCTCCTATTCTATGTTCTCACACTTTTAGTTTGTCATCTCATCTATATGTTACTCCATCCAGTCTTCAGCCAATACCCCTTAGGGCCTCAAGTTTTACACAATGCCCCTGGAATAACCTCAGAAACTGAATTATTAATCATGGCCAATTTAAGTCCAGTTTGTTAATACACATCATACCATGTGCTATAGTTGACCACACATTTGGTACAGGTTATCCAAACCTGAAAAGCTTCCCCAGGCTTCAGGTTCTTTCCCATGAATTGCATAACTGCCTTCACCCCAGCCTGGCTGATCATCTCTGTATAATTTCCTGTGAAATTTACTTCACTCTTTTCCTGTATCACTGAAATCACCATTGATCTAGGAACATAGAACATGAAGATCAGATAGAAGAAAAAGACTAGCATACAAGAAGTAATTATATGGAGGAGAACATGGCATGTGCGTGCCATAAAGCATGACCTCAGGACATGTAGGGATTTCTGCTTTGGTCCTCTAGAGTCATGCTAAGCAGAAGATCTGGAGGGGATCGCACAGAGGGTTGATGATCCACAATCTAGTGTCCCTCCCTCATCTCCAGTCTCTGCTGGCAGCACGTCAGGCATCTTATATGCCATCCCCAGCAGAGTGGCTTGTTTGCAGGGAGTGCCTGCTGGAGTTGAGGAGTAGATAAAACAAAATGTGGGGGAAAGGAGGTTAGGGGGGAAAGATCTGTGGGATCCACCAGAGATGACATGAGGGTGGGGGAGGCTGCTGCAGGTGTTCTGTTGCCCAGATGAGGAGTGTGTTGAGGGATTAGACTTGGGGGAATGGAGGGAAAGGTGAAAATTAGCAGTTAACCTATCTGCTTTCTTGGCAGGAGTGGTCAGTGTGTTCCCAGGGAATCCCTGTTGGAGCTGGGGAAGGGAAGTTTGCAAGGGAAGATCTGTGTGATCCACTGTAGATGAGTGCAGGAAGGGAAGGTGGGCTGGAGCAGGAATGGAGAGAAAAGTGGAGATCTGTAGTTAGCCTATCTTCTTCCCTGGCTGGAGTGGCCTGTGTGATCACAGGGAGTGGCAGAGTGTGTATGTGTTAGTTCAACGAGGAACTTCCATACTCAGAGTGACAGCACTAATTTACATTTCCACCTAGAGTGTATAAAGGTTCTTTCTCTCTGCTTCTTGCATCCTCACCATTGGTTTTTTTCAATGATAGCCATTCTGACTGGGGTGAAAGAGAATACCAGTATTGCTTGCATTTGCATTTCCTTCATAGCTAAGGATGTTGAACATTTTTCTATACTTATTCCCGCTGCACTTTAAGATCTTAAAAACACATGAATACAC